AAAGTAACAATTGTTTAGGTAGACATTAGAGCTAAGTCAATAGGAAGTATAACGGCAAAGTAACGATTGTTTAGAGCAGGGGTCTCCAAACTTTTCTGTCCGAGAGCCGCATTAACTATCAAATTTCAGTTCGGGGGCCAGTTTCTTCCAGGCATGTCTTTGATTTTTCTGGGCAAAATTCCTCAGCCATCACCAACAAACGATTTTTCCTTGGACAAAAAGATCTCCGCGGGCCGGATGAGAGGACTTTGCGGGCCACATCCGGCCCTCAGGCCGTAGTTTGGAGTCATGAGGTAGTATGACGGTAAAGTAACAATTGTTTAGGTAGACATTAGAGCTAAGTCAATAGGAAGTACAATATTAACAGTTACACGATTTAAAAAAAACATGTCGTTTATTCTTCTTTCGCAGTTGACGGTGAGGTTAAAATATATTAAGTCAGATGTTTGGAATATAAGGATAAATTAATTAATTCTGAAGTTTCATTATGTCTGGTGTGTTTGGTATGTTTCAAGAAAAAAATGTTAAAATATTACATACATATATTATCTAAAGTATTGTTCAACAATTAGCAAATGTTATGCACCGTTGACAGCTAAGTAGTGTATACCTTAACATGGTGTAGATCAAGACAGTTATAAGCAAAGTTACGAATGAGATGGCACATCCGATGTACGAAATGTATGACAAAACTTCATCATCAGAGGCGTAGGTCGATGCTAGACGTTCCTCACCATACACATCCTGAAACGTTTATACATTTATTTATACTTTCTTTATCAGCTTGTTAGTCCAGGGGTCGGCAACCTGCGGCTCGCGAGCCGCATGCGGCTCTTTTGGTATCAAGATGCGGCTCTTCAGCTCCTTGCACAAATACTAATAATCTTAATCAAAAAATAAAATATTTGAAATAAAAAAATGTTAGTGGCTCTTTAAAACCAGGGAAATTTTGAAAATTGTAACTTTTGGCTCTTCCGCTTCAAAAGGTTGCCGACCCCTGTGTTAGTCTGATATAATATCACAATTAGTTGTTGATTCATTATAATAAATGGAAATAGAAAATGCCTAGATTGTAAACCGTTATAGTTTGAAAGACTTTAAGTAAACATAGAGCATAAACTATAAACTGTACTCTAGTCCACTGATTTGTTTTACCACAGTATGATGAACCAATCTCCAGTGAACTCAAATAAACTGATTGTTTTAGTAAACTCTATGGCTTAAGCTATCACCATCACGCTAATTAGTTCAAGATTAAGTGATTAACCCAACGTTTCGCACCATGGCGTTGAAATATCACTTTATGTTTATATTGCTATTTCAGTTACAACGCCTGCTTCCACCCCTTACCATGAGTAACGCAAAATTGGTCACGTGATTACATGTGCAGACAGACATCCGTTCAGTTGTCTGCACCAGGCTACAGCCATCTGACGACCAACGCCCAAAATCGTCGCCATGATGCTTTTTCCAGAAAACGCAGACTGGAGAAACCAACTTCTGAAAAATAAAGACAAATTGAAAATTTAGAAACATAATTAATTTAACAACTTTTACCTTTCGATAATCATTCACATCAGGAAAAAAATCTATTTGAATAGAAATGTTTCTCTTCTCAATATTAGACACTGGGTGCCTTGTCAACACGTCTTTTATAGTATGAGAGATCGTTCACAAAATAAACTAACAAGACTTTGGCGAAGTTTCTTGTAAAAAGTCACCCAGCCGTCTAAGCGGCAGACATTATACAATTAAAAATTCAAAGATAAATTAAAATATGATGTCGGGCCGGTCACAGTTACTTACGGTGTTATAGTGAGTAAATCCTATTGTGACGTTGTCGTGGAGTTTTGTCGCTTCTTTTTTTGGTGTTATAACTGAAAGGATTTGACTGTTTACTATCAAAGAATTGGAGCGGTCTTGAACCTGGGAGTTGAACATGAATTAAATCTGCGAAACATTTGATACGATTTGTATTATTAAAAAAAACTGATCTTTTAGTTGTCTTTGGGACGGAGTGGTCTAGCGGTAGAGAGCTGGACTGCTAACCCGCAAGTCTCGAGTTCGAATCCGGGTTCAAGTCAGTAGACAGTCCCTGAGTACACCCAACTCTGATGCGTACCTAACACACGTTAGGTTGGGAATAGTGCTGACCTCACTATCTCTTCATATGCCGAGGTCAAAGAAACAAGTGAACTCTACTTCACTGGCCCTATAGACCGTCAGGTTGGTAAAGGGAACTTGACTTCACTTTTTTTGTGCCTATTTTCATTAACTTTCATGATTAGGAAAAACAAGTTATGGACATTGTGCCAAAAAAAAATGGAAGCTAACTGCAAATAGCTTGTCAGACAGCTGAATAACAAACGATAATCTTGTGTTTAGTTCGATGAGCTCTCCTGTGCCGAAAATACTTTCTAGGGACTTTACGGGTATATGTATGGACGATACACCTGGGGTCAGCGTCATGGAGTCGCAGTCGAGCTTTCCGTTTACCTGTAGGAAAAAAAATAATGACAAAATTAATGAAAGATATGTGTTTAATTACATCAAGTTTTGTAATATATTGGGGTATTGTTGTTACGTAGGATTAATAATGAAAATAACTTTAGCATTTTTTCAAGCAAGAAATTATTTAGTGACCTAAATAGTTAACCGATTGACAAGAATATACAATATCCCATGATTTATTTTTCAAACTCGAATACCTGCAATGTTTTTATATTTTTGGTAGCAACCAAAATAAATAAGGATATTAAAAGATTATTTTGGTTTTAAAATGATGTTTTTCTCATATTATTAACCTCGATATTAATTTTTGTGTGTTTAAACTTTGTTGTTTTTTAAATTGACGTTTTACCTAGATTTAGCGTGTATTTGATATTTTGTCTGTGTTTTTAATTTACTTTGACTTAAATAAGATCAATTTATTATTATTTTTATAATTCACTAAGAGTTAAGATTGTATATTCAATCAGTTTTTTTTATTTTACTGACTTATTAGACTTGATTGAATCCACCCAGGATAACACTGGGATGTTACCATGAAGGTGCAGCGACAAACCTAGTGAGGTATCTACTTTAAATAGCCTCTACCTTTTCCGTGGTAAGGTCCGTGTGTGAGTTGGATAGCACTGTTAACTCGAAACCTCCCAGCCGACTTGCGTTCATTTGATAAGACACAATGGCGATTGTTGGATTGACGTGTTTGTACATCCCTGACGTCAGTGAAACTTTATTCGAGACACTTTCTATTATCTCGAGTACTCTGAAATTTTTTAACATTTTTGGCCAGTGTTTCTTCCAGGCATATGTTTGGGGGAGCCGAGCCCCCTGAAGAAAGTCTATCCCTCCTCCCCGAACGAAATGGAATTTCTACAGAAAACCAGTGTCCGTCCGTTCCCCCCCCCCCCCCCGGGAAAATGTTGTCCCCCCCCCCCCCCGGAGAAAAAAGTCCAGAAGAAACACTGTTTTTTGGCTGCACAGAAAAAATGTGAACGTTTTAAAGATAGTATTGTTTTTACGTAACAAAATGTTTTAAAAGATGATTGTTCAGGAGACTTGTCAAATCGCATGAAAAGAATATTTTCTGGATTGACTCAAACCACCAGCATATACCAGTTGTTCTCATTTCCAGTTACACTTTCAGGCACGGATATCTATAAAGCACATTCCGATAAAGTAGGGGCCTACATTTCATCGGTTTGAGTTATAATTGCGTTAGTTCAACGCGTTAGTTGAATTTTTAAACTGCTTTTTATATTATCTATTTATCACTGTTTTTATTCAACGCGTTTTTAATGCCTGTACAATACGATTAATTTATTATGTAGTGCAACATTTTTTAGCAGTAAGTATTTGATGGTGATATGATAGATGATCTCAGGAAAAATTATCTCAGACAAAATATCTCACGGACAAATGGTATCAGGATAAATTGTCTAATGCTTCCATATAAATTGCTATTTTTTAAAAAGGATAAATGATCTAATGACAAAAGATACCAGGACAAAATATTCAGGACAAATGATATCATGGACGATTGATCGCAGACAAAATATCTCAGACAAAATATCTCACGGCAATATATTATAGTATTTGAGATTATTTTAGTGTATTAACATTAAAAAAAGGATTTTACTTACAATTTTTACACATAATAATTGTGAGAAAAAGTTTGTCTCATAGGTTTGTCACATTACATTAAATATATTAAAGTTACAAATACAAATATAATATTCGCAGATTCAAAATAAGTTTCGATAGACAGTGTAGATCATTAGTCCTGAGATCATTTGTCCTGATATCATTTGTCCTGAGATCATTTGTCATGGAACCGCTTTTGATGGGTCAAATGAGATTTCTTTTTTTAAAGAAATCATCTTTGTTTAGTGTGTCTATTATTTTTATATAAATATATCTGCTCTTCTAGGAAAAGTGTGAAATTACCATGTTGGAGACGGATTAAAAACAAAATAAATACAAATAAATAAAAAATGATTCATATGTAATGACCTTTGGAAGTTTTTAAATAGTAACGTTTCTACTTTCAGTTGAACACATTGTACTAAATGTTTGACTCTTGGTCTCGTTTGTTTGCTCTCTTAATATTTGAAAACGTTTTATTGTAAAATTTTGATGGAACTTTTCACACATTCTATAGAATGCCGGCCTTTACTCTTGGCTGATAACGAACAGATATGCACCCAAACACACACATATATATATATACTTATATATATATATATATATATATATATATATATATATATATATATATATATATATATATATATATATATACGTGTGTGTGTGTGTGTATGTGTGCATATAGCTAGTTACTTATGTTTAATGCAGATCTAGCAGCACATACCTTTCCGCACTGCTACCATCTAGCTCTAATTTCTCCAATTCACCAATGCTGAGCAAAATGTATTCAGCGACACCGGGTGTCTTGAGTATGGTTTCCTCTGTCAAATATTCCAGCTCACGGATGAATTGCACGATATTTGTGTTGTCCGTTATGTTCAGAAGCAACTCGGCTTGAGCTAAATTGTCTAAATTACGCGTGTGTTTAAGTTTTTATTTACGTCTCACCTAAATATTTTAGATTTAAAAGTTACACAGTACCAAAATACAAATAGACAAAAGTACTTTGTTCTATATTGATATTACTCACTGATGTTTTGAGTGGTGGTATAAGGTACGTGTTCCTCTACAACCTCACCCCACTTTGCAATGCCATCTTCTGCGATGCTTTATATCATATGAGAAAAAAATAAACGCGTTTAAAAGTTTAAAAAATACTACTCATTCAGAATTCATTTGTATTTGTTATTCTTATTAGTTAATAACGTTAGCACATCTTGAGGATAATTCTTTAATAAGTAAAATGTTTACCATTTTGCTTTCAATTGCAGAATTGAATCTGGCAATGGTATGTTTTGAATCCGAGTTTCGCCTACATAAGACTCATTATATTGTAAAGTATAGTTCATTTTTTTAATTTCAAAAGCTGGACAGTGTATGCTTTCTGCAAACAATTTAGAAATGTATTAAACATAATTTTACATTCTTTAAAATAGATCAGCATGTATACACTTTTTTATTTAAATGTTATTAATTACATTGTTTATATTTTTTTGCGCTAAACACGGTTTTGAAACTAAAGTAAAATGAACAAGACATCTTACTAAAAAATCCACATAACTCTTATCCATATAAATTCGCTTGGTTGTAATTTAGTAAAAATGAAACTAACCTGGATCGGACACGAAAATAGAATCCACATCCACACCAATCCACATCGACTCACTTGGATTACGTGCACTTAGCTCCAAGTCTTTCTGTATTGTAAGTCTCGTGAGCTCGGAGCTATATGTGTTCACCACTGTGGCTTCCATGTGGATAATATAGAGGTACTTGCCATCTGACGTTAAGCTAAAACATGCAGAAATCAGCGCCGTTTTCATTTACGTTCTATAGCAGTCATTAAACCAAACTAACTGTTGAACGATCTTCATTAATATATTTTGTATTAAACACACAGGCCCTATATAAAATGCAAATGAAGATTTTAAAAAATTGCAATTTAAGTTAGAAATTATATGTTTTTTTTTATTTTGCTTGGCTGCAAACTACTTTACTTTGATGAACGAAATAATTTAAGTACACACATTTTTACAGCTATAGTCACAGACCAAAATATTATATTTAAAGGTCTAAAATTTGTTTTTAATGACTATTAAAATGTGAACGTAAGACCAAGCCAAATACTTTTTCATTAAGTTACGGCAGTATACACCGAGTTTTTTTACTTTTCTTTTTCTTCTTCGTTCTTGATTGCAATGTTTGGAAGTGATTTCCTCCAACGCAATGTCAACCTGTTATGCGTCATATAGGTAGTTGACTCCGAACTTATCCTTCTTGGGTTCGCTTCTAAATCATTTGTCCATCCAAGATAAAATTAAAGACATCAGTTGTTTGATTTTGGAGCTTTCTCTCTAAATGGGCTAAAATCCTAGCTATCGAGACACGTCTATGCTAGAGTTCAAACTCGCGACTTTTCGTTTCAGCAATCTAGTCGGTTCGCGCCGTCTAATCTAAAAGTTGCGTATTAGATGTAGTAAATCGCCAATCAACCAAACGGTCGCTCAGACATCAGTGAAAAATTAATTTGCGCAATTTTAGACGATGTAGATGTCTGGTGAGAAACACAGATCTAGATGTTGGTAAACGGGATCATTTCTTGATGTTTGGAGAAACACAGATCTAGATGTTGGTAAATGGGATCATTTCTTGATGTTTGGAGAAACACAGATCTAGATGTTGGTAAATGGGATCATTTCTTGATGTTTGGAGAAACACAGATCTAGATGTTGGTAAATGGGATCATTTCTTGATGTTTGGAGAAACACAGATCTAGATGTTGGTAAATGGGGTCATTTCTTGATGTTTAGTGAAACACAGATCTAGATGTTGGTAAATGGGATCATTTCTTTTTGTTGTCCGCCAACCATTAAAACCGACGAAGACAGAAGGGAGACATCAAGGAGTAGGATGGGAGCAAGAGAGAAATCTATTTCAAGATTTAGAAATACAGAGAGTGGGAGAGAAATCTATTTCAAGATATAGAAAGAGAGAGAGAGAAAAATATAGATATAGAAATAGAGAAGGGGGGAGATATATATATTTCAAGATATAAAAATAGAGAAAAAAAATATAGATATAGAAATAGAGAAGGGGGAGAGATATATATTTCATGATATAAAAATAGAGAGAATGAGAGAGAAATATATTTCAAGATATAGTAATAGAGCAAAAGAGAAATATATTTTAAGATATAGAAATAGAGAGAGAAAAAATATAGATATAGAAATAGAGAGAGAGGGGGGGGGAAATAAATGAAAATAGTGATAGGGTTGGGGTGAGAGAAAATGTAAAATATTTGTGCAAGAGAGTATGCGTAAAATTTTTTATTCGTACTTATGCTTTGTAACATTTTTACTTTCTCGTATATACGAAGTATAGAGAAATTATCGTAATCGTGCACAAAAATCACTTGAAATTTTAACAATTTTCACCGTATTACACCTCAGTCCTTCATCACATCCGAAGTATAGAGGACTTAATTTAATCGTGCAAAAATTATCAATCCAGATTTATCAAAATTAAGAGGTTTTATGCGTAATCCAGTCTGAAAAACTGGGCTTTGCAATTCTGTCCGTATGTCTGTGTGTCTGTCTGTCTGTCTGTATGTACGTGTGTAAACACGATTACTTGAGTACCGTTACAGCTAGGTTGATGAAATTTCATATATAATTATTGTATCAAAATCGTTGATCCGTATTAACTTTTGAGCGATTTCCGATAACAGGAAGCGGTACTTTTTCTACTTTGAATTTTTCAAAAGCCTATAACTTGAGTACTATTTCAGATAGATAAATGAAATTTCACATGTAAGTAAAAGATCTATATTCTCTACCTTCTATTAAATATTGAGTAATTTCCGTTGACCGGAAGTAGTAATTTACGCTACTTCCGATTTCTCAAAAAAACTAATGTAAATTTTTAAAGTACTAATAATATTGCGCACTATTATTCACTTTTTACTTTCTCGTATATACGAAGTATAGAGAAAGTCTTGTAATCGTGCAAAAAAAAATCGAGATTTTTACAAATCTCGACGTTTCACACCTCACTGATACGGAAAAACATAATTTTGCAATCTTGTCTGTATGTCTGTGTGTCTGTCTGTGTGTCTGTCTGTGTGTCTGTCCGTCTGTCCGTGTGTAAACACGATAACTTGAGTACCGTTACAGCTATATTGATGAAATTTCATATATAAGTATTTAATCAAAATCGTAGATCCGTATCAACTTTTGAGCGATTTCCGATAACCGGAAGTGGTACTTTTCCTACTTTGAATTTTTCAAAAGCCTATAACTTGAGTACTATTTTAGATAGATAAATGAAATTTCATACGTAAGTAAAAGATCTAATTCTCTACCTTCTATTAAATTTTGAGTCATTTCCGTTGACTGGAAATAGTACTTTACGCTACTTCCGATTTCTCAAAAAACTAATGTAAATTTTAAAAGTAATAATAATATTGCGCACTATTATGCGCTTTTTTATTTGGCGTTCACTTGGTGTGCAATTAATTTGTCTACGAGATTTTATTCTATTTTTAAAACTTTAAGTATTTAAAATAGATTAAAAATCATGTCTATAGCCCGAGTTCCCATCCCCTGTTATTTTATATAAGAATATTCGAGAAAGTTTAGGGGAGATCACTCCCGGTTTATTTTATTTGGCGTTCACTTGGTGTGCAGTTCTTTTGTCTACGAGATTTTATTCTATTTTTAAAACTTTAAGTATTTAAAATGGATTAAAAATCATGTTTATAGCCCGAGTTCCCATCCCCTGTTGTTTTATATAAGAAGATTCGAGAAAGTTTAGGGGAGATCACTCCCGGTTTATTTAAAGATGTAAATAGATGTCATTTGCGTTTGTTAAATGCGATAGATTAAATTTAAAATCTAACTCGCCATAAACTTACAAAAAACTCACGTGAACCACTTGAACACTACCAGGAACTGAGACTGTCAGCCGGTTTAGCTATGAATAATTATAAATTAGAATTAATGGTGGCCTCGGATGTTCTAAAATCTGGAGCTTCAGACATTCATTTAGGTCTACATATGTTAGAGTGGACAGACTTACAACGGCGGTCATGATTTGCTGTAGTTGTTCCGTTCTCTTGGCTCGTGAACTCCAAGACGTGTACAAAGTTTGATTTTGTTTTACAAAGGTTAACCCAAATGTGTAAACAACTGTTCTACCTGGACATTTACAACGGTTAAAACAAATGTGTAATCAGCCGTTCTGCCGTATGATAATTACAAAGGTTAAAATAAATGTTTAATCAACAATTCGGATAGTTCATACATAAAAAAACAATGTCTACTAAAGTGTTAAGATACTTTAAAAAAAAACAATTATCCATTACATAGACTACTCGCAAATATAAATTATCTCAGTTGAAAATTTCAAAAGTGCACTATGGTTGCCAATTAATATTTAATGTTAGTATAATGACATAGCAAACATTTCGAGACATTAAATCATTGTGTCCTACCTCCAAATTGGTTGATCAAACATTCGTCCCAATAACAGCAAAAACTGCACCTGATCAGTTTTTTGCCACTATAGATACAGCTATGACTGGCACTAAGTTCTTTTCTGATGCAATTGTTTAAATCTTCACAGGAGGTAGATAATGACAAACCTTCAGCTTTTAACACAATTTCCGAATGGCACATGTTCTAAAGTCGTTACATAAAAAATATGATTATTATAATTAGAAATAACTGATCGCGTAGTGCAGACTATTTGTGTACCAGAACTGAATAAATTTTGATAAACCTACAATAAATTGCTTAACATTTTAAATTTATTTTTGTAGAAATTGGTCTAGCTTTACATCCTATGATCAGAATCAGAATCAGAAGGTTGACGCAATAAATTATTCTACAAGCATGTTACGTTAAGTTACATCCTGCACCTTTGTTTTCTTACAATGTACCACACTTGATTGTATGCAGGCGTGGCTTATGTCCGCATGCTCGCATGTGCTGCAAGTGGAACTTTGATCATACAGGTCGTCAGCTGTGTCTTGAGAACATAGAAAGGTATGGTCAATTTATAAATACATATAAACACGTAAATAAACAATTATTCCGTATATATCTATATAAATACCCATACCTACACCCACATCCATATCCACATATCCACTTCTATATCTATATCCCCATCCCTATCCACTTCCATATCTATATCCCGATCTACATCCACTTCCATATCTATATTCCCATTTATATCCACGGGCGCAGTGAGTTGAAGGCACATCTAGCCTTGTTGATACGGCATTTTATGTCCTCGTCTGCTCCCCCGTCCTTATTGATCACGCTTCCCACATATGTGCATGTGTTTGTTTCTCGTA